GGCGAGCCGCGTGCCGAACGTTGCCGACCCCTGATTTAAACTCTGTATCTTATTTGAGATACTTAAATTTAAAAAAAAATTGTGGACCTCATCACCCCCTACCACAGAGACTGAATCCTGATATGTGTAATGTGGTTCCCTCATGTTTACTAATGCAGAAATTAAACATAGTACTTAGCATCTTTGGTAAAAATGTTTAGTTTAGGTTTCACACTGGTATTCTACAAGTTTAACTCTGTTACTCTTTTTTTCTTTAGAAGAGTTTGGCCGTAAAGGAAAAGTTTAAAAGGACATGATAATGAAAACATACTTATTCTGAATACAATGTTCTTGCCTTTCCATATGCCATTTTAAAAAAAAACAACAAAAAAATGCGATTCATTTTATAATGTAGAGAATAAAAACACACATCTGATGCTTCTGTCTTAGACTAAAAATGAGTTGTTCAGATAATATTTCTAGAGTAGGACATCATAATCCCAATCCTTGGTAGATATTTCTTTCACCAGTTTACAATGAATAACCCTCTTAATTCCTTTGAGTAGCAGCTGGTATCCCTACAACCTGTGCCTAAAATGGAAAACCGCTTATTCAGAAAGACTTCTGGTCATATAAGCAAGGAGGCATTTTCATACAGTAGGGCTATGTGGGGTAACTGTCACAAATACACTACTGCTAAAATCTTAATGTTGCAAAAATAGTAACTTAATATTTCTCTTTTCAGATGCAGCAGCTGTTTTATGAAAATTATGAGCAGAACAAAAAAGGCTACATCAAAGACCTTAGAAATAGCAAGATACACCGAGCTATAACGCTGCATCCCAACAAGAACCCACCGTACCAGTATAGACTTCATAGTTACATGCTGAGTCGCAAAATCGCAGAACTGCGTTACCGGACTATACAGCTGCACAGAGAAATTGTCCTGATGAGCAAATACAGCAATGCAGAAATACACAAAGATGACCTTCAGCTTGGGATACCACCTTCTTTTATGAGGTTCCAGCCACGCCAGCGTGAGGAGGTCTTGGAATGGGAGTTCCTTACGGGAAAATATCTCTATTCTGCAGCTGATGGACAGCCCCCTCGGAGAGGGATGGACTCATCTCAGCGTGAAGCATTGGATGACATTGTTATGCAGGTCATGGAAATGATCAATGCAAATGCTAAGACCAGAGGGCGGATCATTGATTTCAAGGAGATACAATACGGCTATCGCAGAGTTAATCCTATGTATGGAGCAGAGTATGTTCTTGACTTATTGCTTCTATACAAAAAACACAAGGGAAAGAAGATGACCGTGCCTGTCAGAAGGCATGCCTACCTACAGCAGACATTCAGCAAGATCCAATTTATGGAGCATGAAGAGATAGATGCCAAAGAGCTGGCCAGCAAAATTAACCAAGATTCTGGATCCTTGTCTTTCCTGTCCAATTCACTGAAGATGTTTGTTCCATTCCAGCTCACTGGATCAAAAGCAGAGCGGAAGGAGCCCAAAGACCAGAAGATCAACATCTTGATTCCTCTGTCTGGACGCTTTGAGATGTTTGCTAGGTTCATGGGGAATTTTGAGAAAACTTGCCTCATTCCCAGTCAGAACGTCAAGCTGGTTGTCCTGCTTTTCAATTCTGACTCAAACCCTGATAAGGCGAAGCAAGTTGAATTGATGAGAGATTACCGTATTAAGTACCCCAAGGCTGATATGCAGATCTTGCCAGTGTCTGGGGAATTCTCAAGAGCTCTGGCTCTTGAAGTTGGATCTTCTCAGTTTAAAAATGAGTCTTTGCTCTTCTTCTGTGACGTTGACCTAGTGTTTACCACAGAGTTTCTCCAACGATGTAGAGCCAATACAGTTTTGGGCCAACAAATATACTTTCCAGTCATCTTTAGTCAGTATGATCCAAAGATAGTTTATAGTGGAAAAGTTCCCAGTGACAATCATTTTGCCTTCACCCAGAAAACCGGTTTCTGGAGGAACTATGGCTTTGGCATTACTTGTATTTACAAAGGTGATCTCCTTAGAGCAGGTGGCTTTGATGTCTCTATCCAAGGTTGGGGCCTTGAGGACGTGGACCTATTTAACAAAGTCATTCAAGCTGGCTTAAAGACTTTCCGAAGCCAAGAAATCGGAGTTGTTCATGTACATCATCCAGTCTTTTGTGACCCCAATCTTGATCCAAAACAATATAAAATGTGCTTGGGGTCCAAAGCTTCAACTTATGGGTCCACACAACAGTTGGCTGAACTATGGCTTGAAAAAAATGACCCTAGCTTTGGGAAAAGCAGCAATACTAATGGCTCAGTGAGGACAGCCTGATGTCCAGCTATGCTGGAGAAGACTTTTTTTAATTATCTAATTTATTTTTGGAAAATGTTTTGATAGTTCATTTTTTAAAGACCGCACAAGGATATATTTTAGAAATCATGTTTTCTTACCAAGAACTCTTTTGAGAATGAGCTTTTTTTTGAACAAAACTGTGATTGATATTTGCCTTTGAACAAAAATTTTGGCTGAGTATTATCTGGGAGATCTGCATAATTCTGATGACTTGAAATAAGGTTTCCATATGAACAAAGGACCTCCTTTTTAAAAAAAAAAAAAAAAAAAAACCTTTTTCCATTGCTGTCTTCTTTGCTAGGATTCTATAAATTGGAACCTGAACATTCAAGCAAAATGGCAAAATACTGTACCTAACTGTTGTGTTGTGACTGTTACATTACACAGATTCTACTCTTTTTAAATAGCCATAATGTTCAAATTGTGTTAGAACAATGCAAAACAGTGTGGCAATAGTTGGGTTATTAATTTCAGGAGTATTTCAATAGGTTGATTACTTCAACCAAAAATGTACTTTTGCTTATTGTGGCCGAGCAGCTTTTTGAAGGGTGTGTGGAAAAGAAGCACACTTGATAAACTTGTATCAGTTTAGTCCATATGTAAGTTTTGTCTGACATTTGGTCCATATGTGGATCTAACATTAAAAATTCCATGGTGGATTCTGTGGATTCTAAATTGTTCTCCAGTCTAGAACAGAGACTGCATGATGGTGAAATGCAAAATTGTAATGAGTGTGGGAGGGAGAAATGAGAATTTCTCACTGCAAAACAAGGTACACAACTCAAAATTTGAAATCCCTAATGAGAACATTGGAAACTTGCATCTGATTGCATTCATTTTGTACAGTCAGTTACAAGATGTTGATGGGAACAATTGTTACATTCTTTGATTACTAGTTTCTTTTGTTTTCTTTATCGATAGACCTTTAATTTATTTAATATCCATTGTTTTAGGTTCTTGCCCTTTTCTTGAATATCTGTTAGTCATTTATTTATATATCTATTAGGAATGTATTGCTTTTTCTCACTCTTAAGGTAGTGTACATCTTACTTACAGTAAACTGTGATCTCCAAAGATTTCTTTTGAAAGTATTTTTTATTCCAAATTCCTTTTAAAATTTTACTGAGTGACTTAAATAACCTTGGGAATTGTTTTGATGCTCTAAGATAAACCTGGGAGAGAAAATGTTGAGTAGAAACAATATGACCCCTTTGAGTTATCACCTAGTAAAGGTTAAATAAACATACAAATGAAGTGCCTTAAAGTGAACAGAAGGAGGGGGAACTCTTTTGCATTGAGACTTAGAACACTGATGGAAATTGCTGTTGCAGCAGATCATATATTGGGCTCAGAAGTTAAAGATCAAGCCAGTGAAAAATATATTTTTCTATTGTACTCGTCAACACCACTTTGCCCTAGTTCCATTTCAGTAACATAAAGACCTACTCTTTGGGAGGTGAAGGATAGTAAAAGAGAATGAAAATCAGTACTTAGATTTGATTTACCAAGTTTTAAGGGGTCTTTATGGAGTAACTGCTTGAATATTCCAATAGGAAAATAATCAGTGGTTACACATTTATGGAATGTGAATTGCGTTTGCAACTAGTCTAGATTCATTGTCCTACAACTGTCGTTGTTTTTTTTGGTGACAGCCCCAAGGATGTAGATACTTATAATGGATTCAATGCATGGAAAGTGTTGAAAGACTTGGTCCTAAGATGCAATAAAGATTTTTATTTGCAATCCTATCTCATCATGTTGTCTGCCTCAGTCCTCATCTTACGTAGCAGGCACAGTTTAGGGTAAGTATTATAGCAAAGATTTGGGAATGAAATGAACCAAACAATAAAGTACCTTTATATACACAAGTTCTTGCCATCTGTGCCAAATTTCAGATGCAATAGTCCTTGAAAAAAGGTGTTTCACCCCTACTACTACTGTTTACTGTTAAGATTTGTTAATGGAGATCTTTGAAGTCTGCCTTGTGAGAAGAGGATTTATACTGCTTCAGCTGATAATCAAGATGTCTGAAGCTACCCATAATGGTAAAACGAATGCACACAATTACCAGGTTGAATAACTTCGTAATATTTTATATATTCTATGCATGATAAAAATTAAGACCCACTTTTCAGATATGCTAAGCACCTGTTCATTGCTGCCTCTTCCATTTTTATCAGAACTCTCTCAATAGTTGGTGTTTTTCTTAAACCCCCAACTCCTGGAGTCATGGGATTATGTAAAGTGGCTGCTGATCTTTAGAAGTACTGAGAACCCACTGTTTCTGTTAGTTTCAATAGGAGCTCTGGGTCTTGCATGCTTCTGGAAATTAGGCCTGAAGTTTCTCAGGGTGAGCAAATGAAATCGGTGACTGCTTCTGAAAATGTTGGTCTTGGTGTCTGGGATAAGAGTGTTTTGTATTCTGTAAACACAAGGTACCAAGGCCAATGTTTCCAGCAGTGAATAGTGACTTAGCGTGATTTTTTTTGGGGGGGGGGCGCAGGGTGGTCCAACTAGAGACACCTCAGGGTATGTCTACAATTGCAGCTGGGAGTGAGCCTCCCAGCCTGGGTAGACAAGCAGTAGATATGATATTTTGATTTTTAGTACGGCTTTTGACATGGTCCCACTGACCTTCTCATAAGCATACTAGGGAAATGTGTTCTAGATGAAATTGCTATAAGGTGGGTGCACAACTGGTTGAAAGAATGTACTTAAAGAGTAGTTATCAATGTCAGACTGGGAGGATGTATCTATTGGGGTCCTGCGGGATGGGTCTTGGGTCCATTACTATTCAATATTTTCATTCATGACTTAGATCAGGGGTCGGCAACCTTTCAGAAGTGGTGTGCCGAGTCTTCATTTATTCACTCTAATTTAAGGTTTCGTGTGCCAGTAATGCATGTTAACGTTTTTAGAAGGTCTCTTTCTATAAGTCTATAATATATAACTAAACTATTGTTGTATGTAAAGTAAATAAGGTTTTTAAAATGTTTAAGAAGCTTCATTTAAAATTAAATTAAAATGCAGAGCCCCCCAGACCGGTGGCCAGGACCCGGGCAGTGTGAGTGCCACTGAAAATCAGCTCGTGTGCCGCCTTCGGCACACGTGCCATAGGTTGCCTACCCCGACTTAGATAATGGTATGGAGAGTATCCCTATAAAATTTGTGGATAACCCCAAGCTGGGATGGGCACTTTGGAAGAAAGGATTAGGGTTCAAAACCATCTTGACAAATTGCAGAATTGGTCTGAAATCAACAACATGAAATTCAATAAAGACAAATGCGAAGTACTACATTTAAAAGGCAAAATCAGATGCCCTACAAAATGAGGAATAATTGGCTAGGTGGTAGTACTGCTGAAAAGGATCTGGGGGTGATAGTAATCAGAAATGGAGTATGAAAATAGAAAACTCAATAATAATAATCATTAATTATAGGGGATTTCAACTATCCCTGTACTCACTGGGTATGTATCACTCCAGGATGGAATGCAGAGAAAGTTTCTACACTCTATTAATGACTGCTTTGTGGAGCAGCTAGTCCTGGAAGCCACAAGGGAAGAGGCAATTCTTGATTTAGTCCTAAATTGAACACAGGGGCTGGTCCAAGAAGTGAATATAGCTGAGCTGCTCAGTAATAGCAACCATAATATAATTTAAAATCCTGGGGGGAGGGCATTAAAATATTAAAGAAGCCCCCCACAGTAGCATTTAACTTCAGAAAGGGGAGCTACACAAAAATGAGGAAGCTAGTTAAACCAAAATTAAAACAAACAATCACAAGAAATGCCTACAAGCTGCATGAGAACTTTTGAAAAAATCCATAATAGAGGCTCACATGAAATGTATATCCCAAATTTTAAGAAAGCGGGGGGGAGGGGCAGAAAAATGCCACCGTTGCTAAACACAGGAAAAGAGGCAAAAAGGTATCCTTTAAAAATTGGAAGTCAAATCCTACAGAGGAAAATACAAGAGAGTATAAATTCTGGTAAGCCAAGTATAATTAGGCAGGCCAAAAAAGAATTTGAAGAGCAAAAGACTAAACTAGCAGCAAAAAAAATTAAGTACATCAGAAGCAGAGAGCTTGCCAAACCATCAGTGGGGCCACTGGAAGATGGAGTGCTAAAGGAGCACTCCAGGAAGATAAGGCCGTTGCGGAGAAGCTAAATGAATTATTTCCCTCAGACATCACTGCAGAGGATGTGAGGGAGATTTCCACACCTGAGCCGTTCTTTTTAGGTGACAAATCTGAAGAACTATCCCAGATTGAGGTGGTGTCAATAGAGGTGGTTTTGGAACAAATTGATAAACAGTAATAAGTCACTAGGACCAGATGGGATTCACCCAAGAGTTCTGAAAACTCAAATATGAAATTGCAGATATAACTGTGGTATGTAACCTATTGCTTAAATCAACCTCTGTACCGGGTGACTGGAGGATAGCTAATGTAACACTTTAAAAAAAAAAAAAAAAAAAAAAGAAACAAAAAATAAACCACAAAAAATAAAAACAAAAAAAAAAAACTAAAAAAAAAAAAAATGGAAGTTGACACTTGCCCAACAAAAAAAAAAAAAAAGGCTCCAGAATCGATCCCAGCAATTACAGGCCAGTAAGCCTAACTTCAATACTAGGCAAATTGGTTGAAACTATAGTAAAGTACAGAATTATCGATTTGTTGGGCAAGAGTCAACTTCCCTTTTTTGTAAAGGGAAATCATGCCTCACCAATCTATTAGAATTCTTTGTGGAGGTCAACAAATGTGGACAAGGGTGCTCCAGTGTACTTGAACTTTCAGAAAGCCTTTGAAAAGGTCCCTCACCAAAGGCTCTTAAGCAAACGTAAGCAGTCCTGGGATAAAAGGAAAAGTCCTCTCATGGTTCGTAACTGGTTAAAAGACAGAAAACAAAGGGTAGAATAAATGGTCAGTTTTCAGAATGGAGAGAGGTTAATAGTGGGGTCCCCTAGAGATCTGTACGGGGATGAGTGCTGATCAACATATTCATAAATGAACTGGAAAAACAGGTAAACAGTGAGGTGGCAAAAATTGCAGCTGATACAAAACTACTCAATATAGTTAAGTCCAAAGCAGACTGATAAGAGTTACAAAGGGATCTCACAAAATTGGGTGACTGGTCAACAAAATGGCAAATGAAATTCAATGTTGATAAATGCAAAGTAATGCACATTAGAAAACATAATCCCCATTATACATACAAAATGATGGGGTCTAAATTAGCTGTTACCACTCAAGAAAGAGATCTTGGAGTCACCGCGGCTAGTTCTCTGAAAACATCCTCTCAATGTACAGCGGCAGTCAAAAAAGCTAACAATGTTAGGAACCATTAGGAAAGTGATAGATAATAAGACAGAGTATATCATAATGCCATTATATAAATCCATGGTATGCCCACACTTTGAATACTGTGTGCAGTTCTGATCAGTGCATTTCAAAAAGAGATGCATTAGAAATGGAAAAGGTATAGAGAAGGCCAACAAAAATTATTACGGGTATGGAACAGCTTCCATCTGAGGAGAGATTAAAAAGCCTGGGACTGTTCAGCTTGGAAAAGAGACGACTAAGGGGATATGATAGAGATCTATAAAATCACGAATGGTGTGGAGAAAATAAATAAGGAAGTGTTATTTTACCCCTTCACATAACATAAGAACCAGGGGTCACATAATAAAATTAATGGGCAGTAGGTTTAAAACAAACAAAAGGAAGTACTTCTTCGCACAGCGCACAGTCAACATGAGGAACTCATTGCCAGGGGGTGTGGGGAAGGTGAAAACTATAACAGGATTTAAAAAAGAATTAGAAAATTCCATGGAGGATAAGTCCATCAATGGCTATTAGCCAAGATGGTCAGGGATGTGTCTCAACCTCTGACTGCCAGATTCTGGGACTGGACAACAAAGGATGATCACTTGATAATTGCCCTGTTCTCTTCATTCCCTCTAAAGCATTGGCCACTGTCAGAAGATACTGGGCTAGATGGATCATTGATCTGACCCAATATGGCCATTCTTATGTTCTTATGAGTCCTGACCGTGGATCTGGTGCTATAGGCCTCTGATGTGATTTCCCCACAACAATCTCTGATCTAAATGAACATAAGTACAGTGGAAGGGCATGGTGCAATATGCCAAAGTCATGCTGTAGAAAGTATGGAAGATATCTTTGCAATAAACAAACCCTGATTTTTTTTTTTCCCTCCTGGCTCTAAACTACTGCTCCAAACATTCTGTAGGACTGATGCTGTTGCTTATCATATGAGGGGTATCTCATGAGGCAAAAGTATACTTGCTATCAAACACGGATTTAAGGGCAGGCGACCCAGGTGACCGCTTGGGGTGTGCCAGGCTCAAGGTGCTGTTTTTGTTGTTAGCAACAAAAGGGAAAATAGAATGTTTGAAGTAAAATGTTTCAGGTATTCCATATGTGGATTCATTTTGCAAGAACCCTCCTAGAATATTCTGGACCTTTGTAGAATCTCGTGGAACCTTCCAGACTTTCTGAGAACTACCTTTTCCTTGAACCTTCTAGAATGTTGTCAGCCAGTCAGTGAGATATAAGAACGAAGTGAAATGAAGTGAGAGCTATTGTGAACCTTGTTTTATTGTGTAATTGTGAAAGTGTACTTGTGTTTTAAGACTTGAGTGTAAGTAGTGACTAATAAAGGACACATTTAATGAGATGCCAGAGATATCTATCAAACCCCTATCTATGCAACAGTATAA